GTGTATGTGTGTGTGGGTGGGGGTGTGTGTGTATATTACCACGAGGCTCTCCATCGTATCGTGTATTGTAGAATGCCGACTGCACTTTTTTTTATAAGAATACATTTTTTAAGAACACCGAGGTTGAAATTTCTATAAAAAAATAAAAAAGAGCAAAATAAGAACAAATTTGAGGCTGGTGTTTAATGTCAAATGAGGTTTTTATATATATTTAAAAAAACACAAAAATGAACTTTAAAAAAAACTATAGAAACCTAATCACATACAGTAAAGTATTAATGTTTAAAGAGGTTATATCAACATTATTATTATTATTATTATTATTATTATTATTATTATTATTATTATTATTATTATTATTATTATTATTATTATTATTATTATTAGTATTATTATTATTAACTCAATTAATTTCATCAGATGTGATGTATTCTGAAGTTGAGAACGACTCAACTCGGCTAGGCTTGTGCTAAAACACATTATTTCCCGCTGAGAGTGTGTGAAATAAGTAAAAAATAAAAACATTTGCAGCCTGAAAATTGGCCAAAAAATAATAACACAGAGCCTGGGCAAAATTCGAATGGTCAATAGTTGTGCATTTGTTATAGCGCATATAACATTCGTCTCTATGCGCTGTCAATAACAAACGAAAAAAAACATGAATAATGGTTGAAAGAGAAACCTTATATTTTATTCTGTTTTTTTCTTTTTCCATTCTTCTGGCTTTTATGTTATGTTGTATCTCATATTCTTTTATCTTAATGCCTAGGCCTATATAATTTGTGAATTTTCTTGCCCCGTTACACATTTGGTTTATGCTGAGAGATTTTCCTGTAAGTAATTAAAAACAATCTGTATTTTAATTAATCGTTAAATGATTACTATAATAACAAGACTTTCCATTGTAACAGTTACGGTATATTGGTAATTAGGATAATATTTATACTTATTATTAATCGGTAAAGCATAACAAATACTACAAATCTTATTACCTGTTGTTTCTTGATATTAAAATAATTTTGTATCCGTAAATAATAACAAGTATAATAAGTTTAAAATTTTAATAATTATTATTATAGTAATTTTGAAAAATAAAAAATTTATTTATTTTTTTTTTTAATTGGTAAATTTACCTTAATCGAGTTTGTGATTTTGCAATACATATTTCTTTGTTTCCTAAAATATTTCCTAAACAATTTTTAAATGAAACCTGAATATGTTTCACGTAATGTAATACTATTTTAATTGTACTGTTTTTTTTTTTTTTTTATTGAATGTAAGCTTATTTAACCTTCAATTTTGTTCACAAGATTGCAGAAAACTGATTTGATTTTTGATTTGACAAACAACTGAATTGGATTGGCCACATTTCAGCGAAGTTTCTCCAGCGCTGATCTGCTATAGGAAGTATAGACTATACGCGCACGCCATTATGTCTGTACTGTGATGGTCTATATCTAGAACGGACTTTCGATAAATGTATGATCATTCATCCCAGAAAATGTTCAATAGAGGTAACACATTTGTTTTCCTCAATGATCAATCAATTGAACTCTTTCAGTTCGCCGACTGACACTGGTATCCTTTCCATCTGTCTGTTGTTCGATTCTTCTGACCAAGCTGTTGTTTTCATGTATAGGCCTACTGTGATGTCATCGCTGCATTTTCTATCTCTGTCAATGTTGTTTCTTTGTCCATCTGTTATACAAATACATGCCGTGTCCATCTAATTTTAATACTTTAATAGGCCTACGTTATATTCTGGATACTTTACACAGCACGTGTAA